GAAGTGTTTGGACTGGCCAAGATGAGAACAGGTGCATAGAGATGGCATGGTGAAGCTGGCGTATTGCTCAATGAGACAATTGTGGTAGATACATGGCACTTGAATCGTTTGGATTGGCCAAGACGACGATGAGCGTGCAAAGGAGACAGATATGCAGTAGATATGTTGCACAAATCGTTTGGACTGGCCAAGACGAAGAGCACTCAGCAAAACACCAGAGCACACCACAAAGAGAGGGTGCTGTGGCAAAGAGAAGGTGCCATGGGAAGTTGAACTTGAAGAGCTAGATTTGATGACACATGAACATTTCCTGATCATTTGATGGGGGGAAGTTTCGTGCATCATCGGAATCTATGATGAATACTACCGAAGTTGCACAGCCTCAGTACAAATGTTCAAGATTCTATGATGCACGAACATTTCCCGATCATTTGATGGGGGGAAGTTTCATGTGTCGTCGGAATCTGTGATGCCAAGAGGACAAGAGATGAGAGATGAGATCTAAAACTTACGCCCTGAGATCTGCCCCCCTGCATTTGTATATTGTGGCAAAGATTGTTTAAAAAGGAAATAGATCATGTCATCTACTTCAGTTATACATGAATCTGTATTTATTACCGAAAATGGTAACTGATCTGAGATCTACTATGACACATGAAACTGTCCCCCATCAAGTGATCAGGAAATGTTCGTGCATCATCACTTCTTGAGTTCCAAGCGTTGCCTAAAGAAAAATGTGTAACTTTACCAAATCAAGTCCAATTCAGATGAAATAAAATGCAGAAAAAATGTAAAATTTCAGGGATCATACCTGTATACAATTCATTATGTAATAAGGTCAAAGTACAAATAAACATACTTTTTCAAAGAAGAATCTGAAGCTCACCAACATAAAATCTAAAATAAATGAAATAAAACACCAAGAAAAATACAGTTTGTTTTTATGTATATTATGTAATAAAAGCTATGTGCACAAATAGATATATGTTTGCACAAAATCAAGCTAATGCAAGCTTTTTCAAATGAAGAAGTAGCAATAAATTGGCACAAAAATTACAAGAAAATGGCTGATGGTGCTCACTGTTGGTGACAACATTTGAAAACACTCTCAGGGTCTCTGGTAATTTCCATATATGGCACTCAGCATTTGTCCAACTGAAAAATAGCAATTAAATGGCAGAAAAAATGG